ATCAAAATCAGAGGTTTTTTGGCAGCGGAGAAGTTCGACCGATAGGTAGTTTTACCATAGAAATTAAAGTAGACGAAGCTAAGGCAGTGACTCCTATATATGTTGTGAAATATGGATTCCAATAAATCAATCTTCGAAGATAAAGTTAGTGAAATGGATGATTGCCTGAGGGATTTGAAAGTGCCGGACTTACCAGCACCGAAAACTAACCTGTGGGCTAAAGAAACGTACGTTATTCCGCCTAAGTATGTAGGGTTCATTAGTGTATATACTGATAGGGACATAAATGCTGATATGTATATAGAGACCAATACAACAAGAGACAACAGATGTTTCCCAAGATGTGTAGTGTCAATGAGAGGGGGTGAGACCATCATACCGATTTTGAATATATCAAATAATGAAACAACGGTTGAAAAGAATTATAAAATTACTAAATGTGACGAGTGCCATGAAAGTGAACAAACCCAGGAAAAATCAGATGTAAGAGAACTAACAACGGGTATAATAAAGTAAGATGAGGACATACCGGAAGAGAGTGGAACAAAATTATATAACTTATTAGATGAACAAAGATTGTTTTGTCAGTAAATTAACAGAGTTAGGATGTACAAACCAAGTGAGCTGCAAAATTGAAACAATAACTGTAGAGCCGATTACATTCAGATCATATAGAATGATTTATGGAGAAAGAGAAAAACTTAGAGTGATGATACAAGATCTGAAAAACGCAGGCATTGTCGTGGATTCGACATCAGACTTTGCAAGCCCCATCTTAATCGTGAAGAAGAAGACTGGAGATGAAAGAATCTGTATAGACTACCGTGCACTAAACAAGATTACTAAAAAATGACATATCCCTTACCATTGATTGACGACCAACTAGACAGATTGGCAGGAAATGAATACTTTATAACATTAGACATGGCATCAGGATATTACCAGATACCTGTGAATAAACAATCATAGAGAAAGACTGCATTCGTAACGCCTGATGAAATGTTTGAATTCACCAGAATGCCATTTGGTATAGTCAATGGGCCAGCGATATTCCAAAGGTTGGTTAATAGTGTACTGGGACCACTGCGATTTACAATAGCTTTAGCATATATGGATGATATATTTATTCCGAGTAGAACTGTCGAGGAAGGTATCATGAATCTGGAAGTGGTTTTAAAAGTGATCAGAAAAGCGAAACTAAAATTGAATATGAAGAAGTGCTACTTTTTACAAAAAGAAATAGAATACCTTGGGTTCGTAATTTCGAAAATGGGGGTAAAACCAGGAAGAAAGAAACTAAATGGAGTACTAAACTTTCCACAGCCAAGCAACGTACACGAGGTTCGTCAATTCTTGGGGTTGACTGGGTACTTCAGAAGATTTATTCAAAACTATGCGACGATATCCAAATCAATTAGCAACCTAATACAAAAAGATGCAGAATTCAGATTGGCAAATGAACAACATGCGGCGTTTGAAAAATTAAAGAATGAACTTGTCTCTACTAAAGTATTAGCATTATTTGTTGCAGATGCTTATACATAGGTGCACACAGACGAATCACAATTAGGATTGGGTGGAATATTATTACAAAGAGGAAGAAGCGAACAAATGCATCCAGTTGCTTATATTAGTAGACAGACTACTAGAGATGAGCAGAGATACCATAGCAACGAGTTGGAGACATTAGCAGTCGTATGGACAATGGAGAAGTTAAGAGTGTACCTAGTTGGGAGAAAATTTATTGTAGTGACAGATTGCAATGCATTGAGAAGTACATTCACTAAAAAGAATTTAATACCAAGAATAGGACGATGATGGCTGAAACTACAAGAATATGACTATGAGGTGATTCATCGACGAGCAGAGAAGATAAGACATGTGAATGCTCAATTCCGAAATACCATAAATGAAGCTGAAGAGACAGAATGTGTGGATGGACTTATGGTATTGAATAACTATTTAATAGAAGAAGACTGGTTAACCATAGCGCAGACAAATGATGAAAAACTGAAGTGTATTATGGGCATTATACAGAATGGACATTATGCAGGGATCAACAGAGAAGATGATAAAATTATAAAGGAGTATGAGATCAAAGATGGATGATAAATGAGGAAAATTGAGAATCGGTTAGTGTATGTAGTACCAAAAAGAGTGAGGTCACAGATTGTAAGAAGGTATCATGAGGATTTGGCACACAGGACGGGACAAAGTTATAAAAAAGATATCGGAGAAGTATTGGTTTCCTAGAATGCAAAATTATGTGAAGGGATATATAGGAGCATGCATTGAATGCCTATATAACAAGTTACCGGAAGGCCAGAAACCGGGGAAACTACATTCCATAGACAAAATAGGAATGCCATTTCACACATTGCATATAGATCACTTGGGACCGTTCATTAAAAGTAAGGCTGGAAACACCTTCTTAATCATAATCCTAGATGGGTTTACTGAGTACACAATTCTTAGAGCTGTTCGAGATACGAAAAGTCATGGAACTAAGAAGATTTTAGAAGAAGTCATATCGCTCTTTGGGTGCCCAGTGTAATTACGGACAGAGGCACGTCTTTCACAGGAAAACCGTTTGAAGATTTTTGCAAGAAAAATGATATTACACACGTGAGAAATGCTACTTCAACACCAAAAGCAAATGGACAAGTGGAGAGAGTAAATAGATTTGTAACAACGGCCTTGGCATCGTTATCAAAAGATGAACACTTTGAAGACTGGGACAAAAGTATTAAACAGGTTCAATGGAGCATTAATAACACATACCATAATGCAATTAAGACAACGCCTTTTCGATTGTTATTCAATTACGAACCAAAGTCAGGCGACTTAGTGAGAGATATTGACATGGCTGAATTAGAGGAAGCAGATATTGAACAAGTCAGGAAAGAGGCAATTGAAAACATACGAGAAGATCAATGTAAACAAAGAGAAAGGTATAATAAGAGAAGATGCACAGGCGACTCATACCAAGAAGGAGATTTGGTCATGGTGCGTTGTGAACCACCGAGCACAGGCGAGTCTAGGAAATTGCGCCCTAAGTATAGAGGTCACAGCAAAATTCCCACACGATAGGTATCGAATAGAGGATTTGCCAGGTATGCAGCGTAACCAACGTTTCTACAGCGGCATATTACCAATAGATGCGTTAAAAAAATATGAGATGCAAGAAGTCGACAGTTACTCAGAGGACAGCAATGATGACGAACCTAGTAACAGTGACGAAGAAGAGGAGACAGTCAATATACAACCACTGAAACGGACAATCACACGTCCCAAGAAATTCGAAAACTACATTCTCGAGGACGAGAATTTAGCAGGATAGCCGAATGATAACTATGAATAGATGGCGCAGTTGTAATGTATGAATGTTGGTACGAATGATTGCGTGGATCTATATAGGAATACTATGGAGGATGGTTGTAGGAGGCAGAGTCGTAGTGTAGCGAGCGTAGAGAACATGTATATAGAGAGAGAACTTAGTGTAATTATAGTGAATAAAGTAATTAAGAGAACATTGTGTTTGAATATAGAGACGATTAGAAAGTTAACATTCATCAAAATACTTTGAAAAAATTAACTTTATAATTACGAATCGATTTGACCGCGCGCGGTAGGAAAGGGTATGCAAGAATTATCGGTAGGTTTAGTGTTAACCCTTTCGGTATGCGCGGTACATATGTGCACCACAAAGATTGGAAATTTCTGGACAGTTGAATTTATGTATGAAAGCAATGCAATTTATACCACGACGTTATGTAAGTGTTTAGCTATGAGATAATATACATATGGCCCGTAAAACAGCATTTAGTTTAGAACCAATCGCGTTTTGTTTTTTATCCGCCCAGACCACGTTGCAAAAATCAGACTATTTTTAATAAAATATAAAAACTTCTTGCGATTTTTGGTGATTGTGAGTGGTTACAATGGACAAGAAAGCGAGATAAAGTAGGCAAATATAACTATGTTCCAAACATTTTGTATTTATTACTACATTAAATTACGCTTGATACGCTGGTATAAATGTGAAAGATCTCAAATAAGAGGTGGTTAAAATATCGTATTTTTTTTTTAACTTGTTATTTATATTACAAATTTGTATTGACAAGATGAAGAATTGATTAAATTTTCATGAAGGCATGCCTAGCGGTTTCGGAGATCTAGTGAAAAAAGTAAAAAAGAAAGCCATTTGGTGATCAAAAATGATTATTAGATATAACCACATCAAAGTATCAGAAATTTTATAGAGATTTTAACAATAAGTATAAATTTTATTTACATTCCTATCGGTTCCGTACCGTAATGTTGATCCGTTAGACGGCGACGCGGCGCTTACGCGCTTCGGTATTTCGTCTCTATGCAGTTAAAGCAGTACGATTGCTTTGAAAAAAAGTTCAGAATTTCCAAAATATTTCAAAATAAAGAAAACATTTTACAAGATGAAGAATTGATTAAATTTTCATGAAGGCATGCCTAGCGGTTTCGGAGATCTAGTGAAAAAAGTAAAAAAGAAAGCCATTTGGCGGTCAAAAATGATTATTATACATAAGCACATCAAATTATCAGATATTTTATAGAGATTTTAACAATAAGTATAATTTTTATTTACATTCCTATCGGTTCCGTACCGTAATGTTGATTTTAAAAAAAAGTAAAAGTAAAGTAAAAGTCTTATATGTTAATCTTTTTTAAAAAAAAATATTTTTGGTCCGGGAAGTTCCAGCAATTTGCCTTAAGGCACGATGCCGCCACGCGCCCCACTTAGTTATGATTTTTACTTCAACATATATCACACATTAAAATTATTATACAAACCGTTTTTTAAACAATTTTTCGAATACCTTCCCGAAAGGGATAAACAACCGTGTTATTTTTATTCAATAGGTTCAATATTATAGTATACTTGTCAATACTTACGTAATATTTGCCTAGTTTGAAATACTATGTTTTTTATATAAGGCATTTTATTTTCTCTATTGACTTAGAATCAAAGATGCAAACAACGTCGAGTTGCACGTGAATCATTATCCGAACAGAGTGACGCGGGTTCTCACAGTGACGCTGATAGCTCTGGTGGAATCGATGCCGTTGTGTTATATTCAGAGGAATGTGAGACGTTACAAGAAATGTTTCCTGATACTTGCGTTAATGAGGTAAAATTTATAGTATTATTATAAACACCGTATATATTATGCTTCGTTAATTTTAGTTTTAATAACGTATATATATATATATATATATATATATATATATATATATATATCTTAATATAAATAAATTTAGCGTCACACCTTACGTCCGCGATGGACGCCTAAAATACTGAACAGATTTAAAATTTGTTTTGCTCACCGTATGCATATAGATCCCATTTAGGACATAGGGTATATTAAAAGTTTCAATTTATATCCGAAATATTATGTTTTTGGCAATTTCAAGTGAATCGTATAATCAGTTTGATCTTATCTAGAGCAACGACTTACGAACAATTCGAGCGATAACGTCGGGTACAGTAGACTCTCTGCTGAGGCGTACGCAGCACTGAAACAGTACAAAAGAACATTTGTTCTATGATTATATTGTAATATTTGACTGCCTCCGTTTATACCGCGTTTCTAAGTGAGTCCACTTGAAGATTATATATTATTATCTGCTAAATAAATTAATAAATATTATGTAGCATTATGTTGCCAATTTTGAATTGATGGAAAGTTATTGATGGAAAGTTTAGAAAGCAATATATATTTGTGAGATTCTTAAAATTTATTTTAAATAAATATTAATAGTATTGTTTATGAAATTAAATGTGTTTGAGTGAATTTCAATTTAATAAATATATGTTTCATGGTCAGGGGCAGTAGCTATAATTAAAATATTATATAAAATTAGTTGGATCTGGCGTTAAACAAATTAACACAGGAAAAGAAACAATATTTAAAATTTACACCTAAGTCTGTTTTTACACGGTCTTTTTGTACACGGTTTTGATATAACACGGTTTGAAAATTGAATATTTTTAATTTTTTTACACGATTTTATTCCATTTAGCACGATTTGAAATTTTATGTACTTAAATTTTTTTTGTCAAATTTAATTTTTGCGAAGTATGTTCCTATTCTTTTCGTTCACAACATAGTTTTTTAGTTCCTGAACTTGCCATACATTTAATTTATATTACTTTTAAGATTAGAGTGCATATCTTTTTTATCATTAATTACTATGCTTGTGAAAATAAGCATTATATATTTGATTTAATAAAATAAACATGAATTCTTGTTCTTAAAAATTCTTGTTTTTCACTAATTTTAATAGGTTTTAGAGATTAGGAACAAATCGCCCGTTTTTGTATAAGATCAATGTCTTTTTTTACACTTTTTTTTTACACGGCGTCTTCTGGAACCAATCTACCGTGTAAAAACAGACTTAGGTGTATATTATTACTGCTAAGAAATATAGTACAAAATAAAATATTAATGAATGAAAGTTATATTAATTGCATACTATAGATATGTGTAAACATATATACATTATAAAAAATATACTATAAATAAGCATTTAAAGCATAAATATTAGTCAATTCGCTGGGCATGCCACATAACAACATAATTTAGATATGTATTATCGGGTTTTACTTCCTAAATAAAAAATTGAAGAATTAATCAAAAGCGCGGTAATTATAAATCAAAATCTTGAAACTGTAAATGTGCTAATTGATATAAATAGAATCAGTTTCAGATTAGGTTGGTTCTTGCAAAGACTATTAATATTATCCAGGAACATTTCTATGTGACGTGCTTTGCAGTGGATAAACTATTCATATGTTTTTTGTTAGCTGCCCGTTTCACTTACATACCAATTTGCAATCAATTAGTTATTTTCTACTAGACATATTTTTTATGGCAAAACAACGTTTGCCGGGTCAGTTAGTATATATATATATATATATATATATATATATATATATATATATATAGTATCACAGCCGTTGTCCGCGATGAACGCCTAAAATACTGAATCGATTTAAAATTTGTTTTGCTCCGTGTGCATATGGATCCCATTTAGAACATATTATAAAAATCTCAATTAATAACCGAAATTTTAAATTATTTAATAAAAAAAATATTTTGACGTTTTACCATAGTTTGAGTTCTGTCGAGAGTCTACAACTCTCGACCAAGGACCATAGACATAGAGCATAGATGCGTTTCTATGGGCGGTTGGTAACATATAAATAAGCATACGGCGAAATATATTTGTGAGGTTAGGTTATTATATGTCAAATGTTTATTGAAAGCGGAGTTTTATCAGAGAATATTACTATTCATGGTATATATATATTAATATATTGAACACCGTTATATTATTACACGATACAAATCAAGCATTATAACAAAATTTATCATTTTCCTAACAGCAACTAAATCTAATATATCATCATCTATTGATGATGAACGTTGTGATAAACTTGCAGTTCATTGAGATTGAGACTTATATTAAATGTATTGATGGTGCGCCTATTGAGTCTATTGAAAAATAACCATGAAAGTATTGAAACATTGACGAACGCAACAAACCTGCTGTACATTAACACGAGCATTTTTTGTTCAACTTGCTTTTGATTATTAACTATTCTGCCCATTGAAAGATTGCAATTGGTGCAATGAATAAAGTATGCCAATATTGTCAGGCAATGAACTTTAGAAATAAAACAGAAGGCATGTTCAGCAAGGAAATTTTAAATGAGAAGTGATTTTTTACAACAGATGCCTACGATACCCTCAGATTGCACGATACCATTTAAGAGGTTACAATTTCTGATACGATTGGCATTTGCGATGAATATCACCAAGGCTCAGGGGCAAAAAATTTAGAAAATCAATGTTTTTTTCCACAGACAATTATATGTGGCATGCTCACGTGTGAGATCGCCGAAAAATTTATATGTATTGGCCAAAGATAATTTGGTAAAAATATCTTGCATCAATTATTTTCAAACTAGATTTATAAAAGCATTTATTATTGAGTAATAATAATTGAATGGGAATATATGTTCGAGCTATATGGAATGTTAGATGTTGAAATGTGTAAATAATTGAAATTAGAATAATGTATGTAATGCACTAAATTATTTATAATGTATATATTTTTTATATATTGTGATATTTAATTTTAGGATAATATTATGCAGTTAATTGTATGTTTGCATAATGGTGTTTATTAAATATGTGTATGTTGAAAGTAATATAGGTGGTGTTTTAATTAGTTAATAACAAATTTGCTCAAAATATTATATTATAACTAGCAATCCCGACGTACTCCGTTTCGCCACCAGGTGGTTTCGTGAGAAAGATGAAGATGAAAGAAATTTTTTGTTTGCTTTATATTTCAAAAGGAAAAATTTGATTTTATTATACAACAGTAATGATTTTGTTTCGATTACAAAAATGAAGTGTTTTTTTGTTGAACTTCTCTAAGTAAATGAAAGTGAATCCGCAAATTATCCGTTTCATTAAAGTGCTCTTTGGTCAAACACATTTTTTATTTTTTGGTCTGACGTTAACACAAACAAAGCGGATGGTTTTCCAACTTGTGAACAGGCAACGTATAACTGCCCATGTGAAAAACAATGATTTTCTAAATAATCTATTTGAAATTTATCCCGCAAACACTAAGCGATTGGCCTTGTGATTTGTTATTGCGAACGCAAGGCGAACTGGAAATTGCAATCGTTTGAAGTCGAACGGAAGACCAGTCGGAATTATTGGTATGTCACAAAATCGCCAGAAATTTTTGATTGAATGGTGAAATTTAGTGCGTGTACATCATTATTCTTTGCGGCAAGAATTGCTCGTTAACTTAACCAAGCATAATTCTGATAATTCTCACTAATGTCATTACTCGAAATTTTAATTACGGTGCGTTAAGTTCCAGCAGCTTGCATTAAGGCACGATGCCATGCACAACTAATTTTCTTAGCTATAAACCTTGCAGAGCCCGACCCCTTTCAAACGAATGCAAAATTGTCGAAATCGGTTCGTGCCTTGTGAAGTTATTTCGCCAGGAAGGAAAACCCGACTTATTTTTATATATATAGAAGATAATCTATTTGATATTATTTAAAACAATTGTGGATTATTTTTATTACTCGAATTCAAGCACAATGCCATGCACCACTAATTTTCTTAGCTATAAACCTTGCGGAGCCCGAGACGAATGCAAAATTGTCGAAATCGGCTCGTGCGTTGTGGAGTTATTTCGTCAGGAAGGAAAACTCGACTTATTTTTATATAATACTAGCAAACCCGACGAACTCCGTTTCGCCACCAGATGGTTTCGTGAAAAAGATGAAGAAATTTTTTGTTTGTTTTATATTTGAAAAGGAAAAATTTGATTTTATTATACAACCGTAATGAATTTATTTCGATTACAAAAATGTAATCGAAAACAAATAAAGTAAATTAGTAAATTACTAAGTGTTTCTTAGTTGAGCTTCTCTAAGTAAATGAAAGTGAATCCGCAAATTATCCGTTTCATTGAAGTGCTCTTTGGTAAACCACATTTTTTGTTTTTTGGTCTGACGTTAACACAAACAAAGCGGATGGTTTTCTAACTCGTGAACAGGTAACTGCCCATGTGAAAAACAATGATTTTCTAAATAATCTATTTGAAATTTATCCCGCAAATACTAAGCGATTGGCCTTGCGACTTGTTATTGCGAACGCAAGGCGAACTGGAAATTGCAATCGTTTGAAGTCAAAAGGAAGACCAGTCAGAATCATTGGTATGTCACCAAATCGCCAGCAATTTTTGATTGAATGGTGAAATTCAGTGCGTGTACATCATTATTCTTTGCGGCAAGAATTGCTCGTTGACTTAACCAAGCATAATTCTGATAATTCTCACTAATGTCATTACTCGAACTTTTAATTACGGTGCGTGAAGTTCCAGCAGCTTGCATTAAGGCACGATGACATGCACAAATAATTTTCTCAGCTATAAACCTTGCGGAGCCCGAGACCTTTCCAACGAATGCAAAATTGTCGAAATCGGTTCGTGCGTTCTGGAGTTATTTCGTCAGGAAGGAAAACCCGACTTATAATATTTTTATATATATAGAAGATATAGAGGATAATCTATTTGACATTATTTAAATCAA